CCCCAAAACCCCAAAACCCCACTATTGCTGAAATTAGTTCTAAATTAAATCTTGAAATTCTGTAAATAATTAAGATAAGTGCTAAATCAATAATTCTTTATAAACTTTAGTGACTTCGCCTTTAATGATTAATTTCAAAGTTGATAATAATCACTTAAATTAATTAAACTTTCATTCTATTTAAATATTTATTATTCTTGGAAAATGTTGAACTCTTTTCAAAGATCAAATACCTTAGGAGACAAATAAAATTAAGATGTTGCCAGTTAAAGGTTACCAATGAAAAACATGCCTATTTTTAAAAATAGTGGAGTCATTCCCTTTTGATAGTAAAATCTATTTTCAAGAGCTATGGCAGATAGAGATGGTTAAAATGAATTGAATGTAGAGCCTAATCAGACAGAATAATAAGAATCTGCAAGTCAATCTGGATAATAAGGTCTCGATAGAATATCCGATAATCCCTCACCTGTGAATACAAAGCCAGAGGAGAAAAAAATAAAGTGACCATCAGCATTATAGACACTTAGAAATTTGAGACAAGAAGACCAGACTATTTAAAATACAAAAGAGTAGCCTGAACGATAAGAGGAAGAGAAAAAATAATAATAATAATTAAGCACATTCACCTCTACCAAAAAGGTTATAGATATAGACTTTGAAGATGAAGCAGTGCGTTAAATGCCAGTTATAGGCAAAGTTAATAGAAACATTTCGATAGAAGTAAATTAATTAGACAATAATAGTCCTTATATGAAGCTATAGAATTTTACAATTGCAACATAAAAAAATAACTTCATGATCAATAATGATTTTTCACATTTCCTCAATGTAGATGAAAATTAAATAGTAAAATCAGATATAAACGATAGCTAAATTAGTTCTGCAAATTTGTTGAGAAATCAAGAGTATGATATGTCACTATCAATGAATTAAGACACCTAAAGAGACTACGATAATAATAGTAGTTGTGCTAACATTCAACCTAATATGCTTTTAACTCCTTAAAAGATGAATCACGACATATTGTAAAGTTAGGAAAAAGGAATTAGAGGACTTCAAAAGTATGAATCATAAGAGCTTGGCCAAGATGAACTTGAGATGAAATTTAAGTAAGAGTTTTAAAATAACACAAAACTGTAGAATTTCAGATATCGTCAAGATATAAAAGTAAGAAATAGAAAGTTGGAAAATCAAAGATATCAAAGGACTTAAGCGATGTAAATATCAATAATTCCCTTAACAATAAAGCATACTACATAAAGTAGATTTCAAAGGCAACTGATTCAATAATGGCTGTTAAAGAAAAATCAAACTTTGAAAAAGCTAGAGAGTACACAGATAGTTACCCTTGCCTTAATTTTAGAAAAACCTTGATGAAGATCAGAGTGTAAGATAGATTAACTATGTTTAATATAAATTGTTAGAGCGATATAGCTATTATCATGCAGAATAATTTCTAGCTCTTTGTTTGAATCTATTACTATCATAGTCATTCTAACCAATAGCATAATGTTAGCACTTGAAGATCCAACACAAAATTTATAACCTCATTATTCGACAGTAATGGACAATGTATTTTTAAGTTTATATACTATTGAGCTGGTACTGAAGATAATGGGAATGGGATTTATTTTCAACAAAGGTGCATACCTAAGAGATGCCTGGAATGTGCTGGATCTGATTATAGTTGCTTCAGCATACTTCACATTATTTTTTAGCTCAACATCATTTAGTCTTAGTGGACTTAGAGCATTTAGAGTATTGAGGCCTCTTAGAACAATATCCAGTATTGAGGGACTGAAACTTCTTGTAACTGCTCTATTATCAGCCTTACCCCTTCTCAGAGATACTGTTATAATTCTTGGATTTTTCTTTTTAATCTTTGCTATTGGTGGAGTTTAAATGCTTCATGGATATCTTAAAAGAAGATGTGTCAATATTTAAACTGGAGCCCCTCATGCTGATGATATACTATGTGGAGGAAGTAAAGAATGCTCGCCAGGCTATTTTTGTGGGAAACGCTTTGAAAGTCCAAATGGAGATGTCACAAATTTCGATAATATGCTTTATGGAATTTTAACTGTATTTTAAAGTGTCACACTTGAAGGATGGAGTCAAGTAATGGTAGACGTTTGGCAAGTATTTGGTATTATATCAGTAGCTTTTTTTATTCCATTGGTGTTTATTGGGGCATTTTTCTTGCTAAATCTAACACTAGCTGTTATCAATTCTAAATTCACTGAAGCTCATAAATTACAGACAGAAAGAAACAAGAATAGTCATAATCAGAATAAATTTAAAAGATTCAAAAAAGGCAAAGATTATGAATTTTCTGATCAGCACATCTCAATCAGATAGTATCAAATTGCAAAAAAAGCAGCAAAAAAAATGATAAAATTTTTCAGAAATTAGTAAAATATGAAAGCAAAAGTAAAATAGCGGTACAGTTTACTTATAGTAGATGAAGGAAATAACAATAATCATGATAATAACAGCAGCAATTAAAACTAATCTCTTATTGATGAATCTTTATCGCAATTAAATGGAAACTCTAATAATGTTTCATACACTTCTCCAGTTAAGGTACCTATAGTAAATAATCATAGTATGACTTAGCACAAACTTAACTTTTTTTCAAATTAAGTAATAAAGACTCAACCAATTATTAAACATGAACTAACTGACTCTACAGGGATGGAAAACACCAATTCTAAAAGCTAAACTATGAGTATTATCCAAATTCAACCAGAGTCCGGAATTTAATTTAATAATATATCTAGTATAATGCATAAAACTCTAAGTTTAGGAGGAGTTAATAACTATATAAACAATCAAAATAGTCGCTTAAATAGTCAAGATGGGGCTATGAAACAAGATGTTATAGTAGAAGAGGAATCTGAGGATAGTCTAAATGAATCCAAATATAAGGAAAATGAAGATAAATAGGAATCAGTATCATCTGAGGGGTCATCAGTTAATATCGATCAAATAACACCTTCGAAAAAAGAAGTTTAGATATTCAGATAATCAAAACTAAAAGATTATTAGCATATAATAAACTCATCAGATAATTTTAGGAATCTAAGAATGTCAGGTAATCTCGGCATTGCAACCAACAGTATTAAGGGATTTGAAACCATTAATTCTACAGATGTTCTTAAACCGCAGAATCAAAATAAGAAATAAAAAAAGGTTTTTGATTAATTTTCAGAATTAGACAAATTATTAACACTGGAGGATTTCTAGCCTTAAACAATCTTTGATGGGGAAAGAAACTTAAGAATGTAAAAATCTCATGATTAGCTCAATATCGAGGATAATAATGAATTTTTATTCCCTTCTGATTCAAACTCATCTAATTACCTCCGCACACATAGAGATAAAATAATAACAATTTTGAAAAATGAATCTGATGAAAAATCAGTAATTGATAGCGATAGTGATTTAAGGTCAAATTAACAAAGATTATTTTCAGATAGTAAAATTAGAACTCCGTATATTAAAAATTTTGATGAGTGTGATTAGGGCGATGTAATAATCTTACAAAAACCCATTGAAAAAATAAATGAATTTTAAGATGAGAGCTCTGAGAATTTTAAACAAGAATCTATAATACCTATTGATGCTCTTATAACCCTGAAAAAGATGCTTACAATAGCAGATTCAAGATTACATATGAAAAAGGAATTTGACAATGAACTAAAATTCACAAATAATTTTAGAAGAGCTTTTACAAAATTAGAAATAGATAATAAAAAAGATGAAATTGATTCTCCTGGAATATAAAATTTTCATTTGAAATTTGAAGAAATTAAATCTCAATCTAACTCATAAAATAGACCGGATAATTATAAGAATTAGGTTGAGCGAGATTAATAGCATTAAATTAATGACTAAGAGGGAAAAAATGTTTCAGAAATGTTTAAGTTCCCTTTCAAGCTTTAAAAGAATGTAACTTTCAGCCCAACAAAGTTTCATACTAATGAAGATTCAGGAATTACTGTACAATCCAAGACTCTCACGTTCTCACCAATGAGAAGATTGTTTGAGAAGAAAATAAGTAATTCTTTAGCTAGTAAACTGGCTTCTTAATTAAAAAAAAAGGTCATAGAAAAAACACTGAACAGCAAGGATAAAAAGCTATAATTGGTTAAAAATATTAAATATGAAAGTACTAGCGAAAATGAGGTTCTTGAAAGAAGAATAGCTGAGTAGGAATTAAGATATTTAACTGATTAGTACAAATTCATTAAATTACCCCAGCAATTACAAAAGTAAGAGGATCCAGATTATAAGGTTAAAAGATTAGCTAGGTCTTTGCACAAGCCATACTAATAAAAAGTAGCATTCGAAGTAAAGAGTGATGATGATATTGATGAGGATGATGATGAATAACTTTATTTTAAAGTTTAAGATCTGAATAATTTAGAACTATAACCTTTTGATACAATAACTGGAATCGGATATGAAGAATTACTCCAAGATTTACCTACTAAATAAATTGCTAGGACTTCTAATATTATTGTAACTAGCACATTGAGCTTTACCTATCAGCCAAAAGAGAAAGCCAAAAAGATTCATAGAAGATTTGATGAGAGCTATTTAATGGATTAATATATTCAAAATAAGGCTATCAAAAGATCAAACTCTTTAAATTAATTCTAACTAGAACAATCCAATTTCGATTCGATTTTTGGATACAGCACAAAACCATAAAACACAATTAAAAAGTAAGAAACTTTAATAGAAAACATCAATACTCCTCTTTCTAGTTCAATGACGCCATAGATAGATTTAAAAAGAAGACTTGTCCGCAAATCTATCATGCCTCCAGCACTATCAAGATTAATAACTCGCAGGCCTCCTTAACTATAAGATATGAAAAGTTCGTCTATGAATCGATCTAAGACTTTAATCAAAGATTTAGATGATAAACTGCAGAGAATTGAACCCCCTTCAGCTTCAAGGCGAAAAAGCAACTTCGAAAAAGAAAGCAACAGCTCAAATAACCGGTAGATTATTAAAAATCTTAGAAAAATAAAGAAAAAATATTAGTCTCAAAAAACAAAATTTACTCTGAAAGATGCTTAAAAAATTTTTGATGGAACGTTTTACAATGAGGATGAAGAGCATTAGTAAAATAAGGAGGAGAGCAAAAATGAAAAAGCAGATGTTCTTAAAACATTTTCAATCAAGAATCCAAATTTGTTGAATGCTAACTATGAAAAGCAACAACTCAACGAATTTGAGCACGATATTATTAAATAGATAAAATAGGCTAATTTTTAAGATCAACCACAGAATGACTTTGATTTTAATGCAAATAACAACTGTGTAGTTCCTTCAGACTTAAAAGAGGAACTGGAATTGCCAGATGATTTGCAAGGAAGAGATTTAGATATGGATATTATCAAAATTAGAGATGTATTATACAAAAAAAGAAGTTCTTAATGGAGTGGCTAAGATGTTCTTGAAAGAAAATCAGGCAGAAAACCCTTGATAGATCGAGAAAGGGCTTAATGGGTAGTAAATCACCTCAATAATATAAGAGTATGGCCAAAAGGAATCTATGGCTATATAAAGATATTTAGATCAAAGATCAGGATAGTTGTCAAGTCTTCATACTTTGATAATTTCATGCTAATATCAGTTCTAATAAATACAATAATTCTTGCACTAGACCGGTACAATATGGATGCTTCAGAGGAGAATTTGCTCTTTCAGATAAACTTGCTATTTTCAGCATTATTTATATTTGAGCTGGTTATGAAACTAATTTCTCTTGGACCTAGAAAGTATCTTAATGATAAACTAAATTATCTTGATGGTACTGTAGTCATTCTTAGTGTGGTAGAGATTATACTAAATTCAAGTGGCTAATCATCAGGATCCAAAAATTTATCAGCTTTTAAAACAGTTAGAATATTTAGATCATTTAGAGTCTTAAGAGTTGCAAGATTGCTAAGGAACCTGAGGTCTATGCAAGTTATTATAGGAGTAATATAAAGATCAGTTATGTCCTTTATATATATTGCAGCACTCCTATTCCTATTCATTTTCATTTACGCACTCCTAGGGATGTAAATATTTGGAGGAGAATTTAACATCAACAAAGAAGAAAATAGTGCTAACTATGACACCTTCCATAATGCTTTCATAACAGTTTTCTAAGTACTTACAATAGAGAACTGGCAAACAATATTATTTGACTCAATGAACACGAATCTTGGGAAAATACTTCCAGCAATATATTATCTATCTTGGATTTTCATGGGGAACTTTATATTATTAAATCTATTTCTGGCTATTCTACTAGACTCTTTCATTGAAGAAGAGCATGACAAGGAAAATGAAGAGAAAGAAGAAGAAAAAAAGAAAGAAGAACAAAATATGAAGAAATTACAAAAATAGAATAAGAAAGAGGAAATTAAGAAATTAAAAGAAAAACAGCATGAGAAAAGATAGAAGTAAATGATGTTAAGGGAATAAAGAAGATAAAATATTATGAGAATGTTCACTGAATAATAGAGTATAAATGAGGAAGAAGAAGTATCTGATGAGCAGCAGGATCTTGAAGATATGGATGAAGATGATGTATTTGCAATTTTGTAAGAAGAAGGACTTGGCATGTCACAAAGATAAATAGACACAGATACAAAGCAAGGCAAATTAGATCTTGCAAAGCTTTATAAAGATATAAGATGTCAAAGATCATTCTACTTATTTTAAAGAGTATGATTACTAATTTTCTGAAATTATTTTAGAGGAACAAATTTAGAGTTAGACTATTTTTAATGATGAAGCATCATAACTTTGAAAGAGCTATTCTCATGATTATAGTACTTTCAAGTACAAAACTTGCATTTGATACTTATGTGTTAGATTATGCTAGAGATTCTTTGATTGTAACTTAATCTTAATTTCATAACTTAACATTAGATAAGGGTATCCGAATAAATTGATATAATTTTCACCTTATTATTTACTCTGGAGGCATTGATGAAATCAATATCGCTTGGATTTGTAATGGAAAAAGGATCATATCTTAGAGAAACATGGAATATTCTCGATTTCTTCATTGTCGTATCATCCTTAATAGATTTATCTCTTTCCGACATCAATCTTCCTTTTATCAAAATTTTGAGGTTGCTAAGAACATTAAGACCATTACGATTTATCTCTCATAATATTGCAATGAAGACTATAGTAGTTGCCTTACTTGAATCAGTGGGACATATTATAAATGTAATGATAGTTGTAATGGTAGTCTGGCTGATGTTTGCTATACTTGGAGTGAATCTCTTTGCTGGTAAATTTTATTACTGTACGATAGAACCATTGAAAACTAGAAATTTAAAAGAATGCGTCAATAAAAGAGGACAATGGCTTACTTATGATCAAAATTTCGATAATGTGGGCAATGCCATGCTAACTTTATTTGTGGTTGCCACTCTTGAAGATTGGCCTGATGTTTTGCATTAAGCTGTCAATTCAAGTGATGAAAATTAAGGGCCTATACTTAATAACTCCCCAGCTAACGCTTACTTTTTTGTTGCTTTTATACTAATCGGCTCATACTTTTTACTCAATTTCTTTATTGGTGTATTGTTCTTAAAGTACAATGAAGCTTAAAAGGCTGAAATTAAGGGTTTCACCTAAGAACATTTATAGTGGATGGATATGCAAAAAATGATAGTTGCTTCTAGACCAGACTATGAGACAACTAACATTCCCAAGTAGAAATGGAGAAGAAAGCTTCATCAATTTGTAGTATCAACATCCTTTGAAACTTTTATAATGGCATGTATTGTACTAAACATGCTTTAAATGGCATGCCAATTTGAAGGAGCTTAGTTATCATACGATAATGTCCTTAATAACATCAATATATTTTTCACATGCGTATTTATTTCGGAATCCATTTTAAAGATCATTGCCTTTGATGTTACTTACTTTTACAATAATTGGAACAGGTTTGACTTTATTGTCGTTATTTCAAGTGTTATTGATATATTGATGAGTGATTTAAGTAGCAGCGACCTCAAATTATTAAGAATTGGACCATAATTAGCTCGAGTTTTTAGAGTTCTCAGAGTAACTAGAATACTCAGATTAGTAGGAAAATATCAAGGCATTCAGGCTTTAATTTAGACTATAACATTTTCCCTTCCATCCTTGCTAAATGTACTAGGATTACTATTTCTAATTTTTTTTATGTTCGCGATTCTTGGAGTGTTCTTTTTCAGAGATGTGACGTAAGGTTAAGTAATTAATAGCTACATGAACTTTTCAAATTTTGGAATGGCTATGCTGATGCTCTTTAGAATGTCAACTGGAGAGGATTGGAACTATGTTATGTTTGATTGCTCGAGAGAGGAAGCAGATGGATGTATACCTGGCAAAACTTGCGGAAACAAAATTATTAGTTACATCTACTTCATCTCTTTCATTTTAATTTGTATGGATGTAATGCTAAACCTCTTTGTACTTGTAATTCTTCAACAATTTGATAAGTATTACCTGCCTCAAAATAATATCATGAACATGTTTAAGAAGGACCTTTAAGGATTTAAAGATAATTGGAAAGATTTTTCAATGGAAAAATATAATTGCCAGAAGATTAGAGCTTGTCAATTAACCTAATTTATTCAAAGTTTAAAACCCCCTCTTGGATTAGTTAACGTTGATGATATTGAATTGAAAAAGATAATGCTAAAAATGGGAATAAAAAGTGATCCAGATGGCTACATCTACTTCAACGAGCTCCTATATAGATGCATGAGAAGAGTTTATGGGTAGTTAAGACTAAATAAGAAAATGCAAATATTCGAAATTAAAACCTAATACAAAGTGATAAAGTTATCAATGATATCTCATTAGAAAGGAGGCAAATTGAAAAACTAAGAAATAATGGATTTAATGACTTAGAAGCATCACTCAGTAAATCCCTTTCTAACAATAATGTTCCTTAAAACAAGTTTTAAAGTTTGGTTGAACTATGCATAGAGAGCTCGCACTAGAGATAGAAAAATAAGACATTATCGTAGAAAGAGTGCCAAAAGTTTAATGTAAAAGTAGGAATTTAGTGAGAAAAACTTATAGGAAATTGCAAGTACAATTCAATTACCATAATTCCTTTATGAAGAGGATAAGAGTAATCTAGTAGAATTTGAATATTTAGATGAAATTGAAATCTTGCAAACATACTCGAGCGAGGAGGAGGATCAGCAAAGCATTGACTTAGATCTTTATTCCCCCATTAATAACGACTTCTTTAGTAATAATTAAGATTCCAGTTGCAAATCAACTCAATAAATATTGCAGGATATTATAAAGCAACAACCAAGCTCGACAAAATCTGACTCAAGACTTATGAAGGAGGATTATTTCTTGGAAAGAAAGCATGCTAAATAAGTATAAAGTACTAAAGCTAATTCAAATGATTCTTAGAGAAAAGAACTCCTCCCAAATACACTTAGGACAATTAAAAATTTTGATACGATTGAAGAAGAAGAAGAAAATAATTCTTAGCCAAGCATTCCAAAAAAGAAAAAAAGTACTAAGAAAACATTGAAATTCGACTTTTGATTGATTAAAATTTTAATAACATTTAGCTATTATTGACTTTAATTTCTATTAATAAATCTTTTTAATTTCCTCTCAATTTTATGATTTATCCCTTATGGGGTTTTGGGGTTTTGGGG